GTTTTCCCCCAAAAGTGGGCGTGAACCTATCAGAGACATTCTATGACGCAGCGCCGGTTGTGCGAATGGCATTATGTATGTGAGATTGTTTCAACTATATATTCAAATCCACCACCACCAAAAAAAAAAAAAAAGTGTTCATAAACAGCTGGGGAATTCACATGCCTCTCCATAGACAGCTGTACATGCCATCTAGTGGTTACACATGATTCTAAGCTTTTTCTCTATACTGTAACCAGATAGTGCTAATTTTCTTCATTTTTTTTTCTGAAGGCCTAGTCTCCATATAAAACTAAAATACTGCATAAATAATAATAAAAAAAAAAATAATAAAAAAAAAAAAATATATATATAATATAGAAAATATATATTTTTCCATGGCAAAAATAGACAATAATTATTGCATAAATATTAATAAATTCAATCAAATTGCCTCAAAATACTAAATTAAAAAGAATAAATATTATAGAACAAAAATAAATTGCATTGGTTTTACTGGGATGGAGGAAATTCAATTTTTAGGTGTCTGGTCACTTCTGACCGGGAAGATAACTCTGATCTTCCGAATCTTCCTAGTGTGACTCCGAAACGAAGAGCACCTGAGTTAATTCTGGTGTTTATTTAGAGTATATTTCTAGCACTCAATTTTGGGTTGAAATCTGCATTTTAGACAGAATTAGAAAAGTTGTAAAATTTTTGACATCCCTGGGGAGGACAATTAACATTTTCAACAAACTTCAAGTTCAAGATCAAAGTTTGACCTAAAAGAACCTTAAACGTACACAGAATCTCTGACTAATATCAGGAACTAACTATTGGAATAAAAAAAAGTGCAAACACCACAAAACATTATGAGCTGAAAATCGTTCTGACCCAGTTGGACCCAAAACATCTTTCCATCATAAAGCAAGCTAAGAAAACAGCAAAATGAAGTCTGAGAGCTCGTAAGAAGCATCATAAAAGCAATTTAACAAATATCACCTGTGCTGCCCAAACTAGCATTCACTTACTTGAATTTGTAACTGTTACATTTAGTCACCACATGAATGGCAGTTTAGCTTCAAACGACTGCTAAACACTTATATATACATTTTTCCACTTGGCATATTGCAGGGATAAAACATGTAAATGTACATTTGTATTCTAGGTGTTAGTCTGTGCGCACTAAGTTGTACTTTATCTATATACAGCAACTGCACAAATATAAGTATTTGTTGTAATTGATCAACTTGAACCCAGTGGAATTTGCAATACCTGGCTTGTGGCCCCCAGAATTTAAAGATCAAACCTTCTTCTTCTATCTACTAATCATCATATTTTCCTCTCAGAATGACCTGTGGATGAAAGCAGCACTCAAGCTGAAGTCGTCATTAAAAGGATCTTCTCACTCAGTAAGGCAAGTACTGGAAGAGGCCAAGGATTGGCACGAACCAGGGCTTTAATAGCAATAAATACCACTCAAAGCCGTGATTACAGTGCTAAAGTGTTTCTAATGCCTCAGCCAAGAAAAAAACGCATCATCCCTATGTGCGCCCGCCAGTCTCTGACAGGACACTTTTCCCTGGGAGAAGTGCGCTGCATGTTGCTGATAGTTTGACTGTGCATGAGGGCTTTTCAAAAAGCTGTTTTATAATCAGATAAGCATTAAAAAAAACATGAAATGGCCTTTTTGGATCTTTCATAAATTCATGTACTGATTTAAAGTGGCAACTAGAATTTGTACAGGTTTGAAATTTTACCTACATACATTCATTTAAAAACGAGTCCATAAACCATTCACACAAAAATACTCTGTATTTTCCACTTTTTATTGACAAATAAAAAGCTATCTTGGAGAAAGAAATGAACTTCTAGGAACTTCTATCAGTTAAAACTAGGGCTGTCAAATGATTAATCGCGATTAATCGCATCCAAAATAAAAGTTTGTGTTTACATAATATATATGGGTGCACTGTGTATAATTATTTATATATAAATACACACACATGCATGTATATTTAAGAAAAAAAAATTATTTATATATAAAATATTTATACATAATATAAATGATATATAAATCTATATACAGTATATACATGAAAATATTTCTTAAATATATATAAGCATGTGTGTGTATTTATATATATAAAATAATTATACACAGTGCACCTACATATAATATGTAAACACAAACTTTTATTTTGGATGTGATTAATCGCGATTAATCGTTTGACAGCCCTAGTTAGAACCTTGCTTGAGTATCCACAAGTTTCCTACGCCCCATGAGGCCTTGCGTCAAAAGTGGGCGCGTCTTCCGGTTGGAAGTAAACAAAGCGCGACTTGACATGCTTGACACTCGTTCATTCAACATTTGACAGTCATTCAAGTTATAGCGATCCAAACTAGCTAACGATGTGGGAACACAACCTCAACGAAATTAAAAAGGGTGAGATAACAGTACCTTTACCCTCCGCAGTAGTTGGTTGGGAGTATTAATAACATTAATCAATACTCATCAAAGCATGGTGACAGGCAGTTGTGTGAGCTGACAAACAATTAAAATAAAAAACACTCATGCTGCGTCCCAATTCGCTTACTTATACTACGCCCTAATAGTATGTACTCTTTTTGTGAGGAAAAAGTACATACTTTTGAGTGTGTAGCAAAAGAGTAGGCAAGCTTTGGGACATACGTCATCTTTAACAGACAGCTCTGTCGCGTGCTGCGTTGCATCCTGTCACCGTAAACTGCCCTGTCAATCATCTCGTCACAGTTAAAATCCTCCATTCTATCTAATTTTATTTCCTACCGTTTCGTGCGTGGAAAATATAAATGAGACATGCGTTTGTATATAAAGTCATTTGCGCCGGGTGCAAGATAGAGACCATTATGTACCGGTTATACTATATATCAGAAACTTTTTTCTAATCGAGCCGATAGCGATAACATTAAAAAAATATCATATATCAGCCGATACCGATAAAACCGATACGGAAATATCATATTTACTGTAGTATAAGGGTTTATTTTCCAATAATGACCATCTGGCTCTACATTATCTCTAAATGTAATGTGTTTAACTTTAGCATTAACATTTTTAGTTTGATTATTTATTTATTTTTTGAGTGAATGATGGACATAGTACTTTGTATTGTACTGTTCCCAATAGTTCCACAGACATACAAAAAAAAGTTATTATTCATAAGGAACAGATCATGATAGCTAGTCAAAACAATGTCATTCGCTCTGTCTGATATGTATCAAGACCATGAGAGGCCGGTGATCTAAAACCCAAAGATTAGGAATAAGAGCTCCCAATCTGCTCTAAGCAGACTGTGACGTCAGCCATGACAAACCAGGATTCATCTGCCCGTGACTCGGAGCAATTACCATGACAAGAACACTGTGACTACTATTAAACCACCACAAATAAAGACAGTTACAGACTCAGAGAGAGAAGGAGGTAGCCAAACGAGTAGAGACTAAGAGAGAGTTTTCTCCTTGAGGATATTGAATGGAAACTAATCGTTTGGCCTCCTCAATTGGTAAAATAGCCACAGCCTGAGGGTCTGTAAAAGAAAGAGACCGAACCAACTCCCTTTTTTTAGGGACTGACTGAACTAACTGCTTCCTTGAAGGAACCTCCAGCTCTCTGAATAGTGAGTGTGAGAGTGTGCGTTAATTGAAAAGGTTTGTCTAGTGTTTAGTGAAGCATTAGGTCTGACCTACATTTATATGTCCCCATAAAACCAGGCCTAGCAGACGGCCAGAACTCAACACACAGCACACTTCAGGTAGCTGCATACTAATCGAATACATTCCTTGCATTCTCCAGTCGAAGGATTGTAGATTCCAACTTCATGACACCATTTCCTGTGCCATATTCCAGTCAGCGTTATGCTAAAAGAACTGGGTGAGTAGGCAATGTGTGGAAACTGGATAGAGGCGCATGATGCCAGACAGAGGCGCATGATGCCAGAGTTGAAACAAATTATGACATGAAGGTGTAATCGGTCTTGACAATGGCCATTTAATATGAAATATTAATGACATATGGCTATTTTATTCTCTGGAAAGCATTGGTGGAAGTGTGTCATAAGCAAACTTTCCCAAGACAGAAGAAAGACAACTAATCCAGACATCTCAGGACAAAAATATCTAAAAAAAAAAGAAAAAAAAAAAAAGAAGATTTTACCCTCAGCAGCACTTTCAGCCCCAAAGACAGGCCCACGGGGATATTAAACTGTAATAATAATAAACACAACTATTCTGCTTTTGCTCTATCATCCAAGATGAAGTTATAGGTTACTGAATATCTTTCAAAGTAACCCAGACAGACACACCTGAATATCAAACATTACCACAAACAAAAAAGTTAACAAAAAGTACCACAGCTTTTTTGAAATTGTATCAAGCATGTTATCTTTGAAGTGCCAGGAAATAATACTGTGGTATATGAGTATGATAATAAAATTCAAGTAGTCTACTGTTGTATCTGATACCATCACCATGGAATCGTCCAAGGCCAGTTATATGACTAATAGAATAGAATAGAATAGAATAGAATAGCTGAAAACTAAGATAAAGCAAAGTAAACCTTTCTATGTCTACAAAACGGATCCATGTACTTTTAATTGCAAATAAATACAAAAACTACAAACTTACAAAAATCGCAGCAAAAGTAAAACAGTGCTGCATGGACAATGGATATATGTCAACAAAATGGATACACATACTTTTAAAAGTAAATAAATAAAACAACTAATACCAAGTTTAGAATAGAATAGAATGAAATAGAACCAAAAAAAATACAATGGCAACGTAAACTTCCCTATGTATAGAACACGGATCCATTTACTAAACAAATAAAAGAACAACTATCTTATTAGAATAGAATAGAATAGAATAGAATAGAATAGAATAGAATAGAATAGAATAGAATAGAACAAGTGAAATCTGAAAGTGCATATTTCTTTCTGGTTGTTTGTCAGATTGTATTTAAGATCATTATTAGTACACACCAGAACGAGCGCAAATCTCTCCTCCAGCTCCGCCGGCTCGGGCATGGGCAGTTTGAGGGGCATGTGGTGTCCTCGGGGGTCCGTGTGTTGGTTCATACTCCCAGCGTTCCCCATCTCTCCTCCAGTATTACAGTCACACTCTTATTCTGCGGGTTTGTCCTGTATGTGTTCCCAGTATCCGTTTACAGTGTCTGTCCGACTTTATCTGAGATGGAACACTTCATGGAGGTCAGCAACAGGGTCTGTGAGCAGCTGCATTATTACTCCACACAGGCAACAAGAGCGCACAAAACGTGTCCTATTCGCATATTGCACAATGTCCGCACCACTCCCAGTGAGCTTTTCTGTTCTTCATGATTCAGTCTCTGAAACGCACTTCAGCGGACAACTACAGGCGCTGTCGATTCAACTCCGCCCCTCAAGCGGATTTACCAATCCCATTACAGCCAGGGCTGTGCTCATGCATAAAACATGAGCTAGTTTGGAAGGCGTGGCTGCTTGACTGAGAAAAGTCCTAAAAAAGTTGTAGTCCTTGTAAACAATCCTTTGAAAAATCATTTATTTTCTATTTATAACATCCACAAATAAGATTAATACAATTCAATAAAAATACAGAGTTCTCTTTGCTCACTTTATGTTTTCTTTTTCTGCGAACAATGACTTATAGTTATAAATAGCTAACAAACTAGAAAAATACTTTAAACTGCACAAAACAAGAGAAAACTGAAAATGTACATAAATAATTACAACTCAAACAGCTTTTTTATTTAATGTTTAATTTAATTTATTTTATTATTAATATGTGTCTGGTAGTTTTATACACTCTAAAAAATGCTGGGTTGTTTTATCCCAATTTTGGGTAAAATATGGACAAAACCAGCCATCGGGTTAAAAATGTAATTTAAAAATGTAACCTAATGGGTTTGTCCATATTTTACCCAAAATTGGGTTAAAACAACCCAGCATTTTTAAAAAATAATAATAATTAGTTAATAATAATAATAATAATACATAAAACAGAATGCTCACAGTTGCTAAATACAGGGATGTTGACCAGTCTCCCAGAAGAGGAACCTTCCATATTTTACCCAAAATTGGGTTAAAACAACCCAGCATTTTTTAGAGTGTACAAAAAATAATAATAATTAGTTAATAATAATAATAATAATAATAATACATAAAACAGAATGCTCACAGTTGCTAAATACAGGGATGTTGACCAGTCTCCCAGAAGAGGAACCTGTACATTTATGCATTCATCTGATAATGATGAAAAGTAGGTCTACTCATAGATAGCTACACCGTTTGCCAGCAGTAGAAAAAAAAACACAACTTGAAAAAGTTGAAATGACTGATTTTGTTGTGTTGGTTCAGCAAAATTCCATACTGTTAATATCTCGTAAAACAACAAGAAAATCTCGGTACTAATTTCCACTTGCTTTTTCTTGTTGACTCACATTTTATATATAACTGAACATAACACACACACACACACACACACACACACAACTTTTAGTTGAGTGAACTTGACATTATATTTTTTTTCTGGAGCGATGGAACTATTCTGCAACAAATCTTTTGTAGTTGAACCAATTCAAAATTTTTTGTCTATTGGAAACATAAGTTCTTATTAAGAATAAGGTTCAGATGTAGCTTTTTTATGTTTGGTCAAGATTTTGGTGGTGAGCGTTTCCTGGAGTTGGTCAGTTTGACTCTTGGCATTTATGTGATTTAGTGGTCTTTGTAACAGTGTTTAAAAGACCACGAAATTACATAACACATAATTTGTTGCAAAGAAAGCCATAAAAAAACGGATCAGATGATCTAGATAACATCAAAAACGGAATAGGTCACTACTCTTATTCCTGATCAAAAGATGTTATTTATGAATAATATATTAGATTTAAAAAACAAAACCTTTATGCAACAGATTAGAGATTCTGAATTTTGAATTTTAAATACATTTTGAATTTTAAATACAATTTAAAAAAAACACACAAACAGACATCAAGAATCAGCATATCGTCGCTGTCCGATGAAAACTGCGTATGTCCATTTTTACCGATTTTGAGATTTTTTGACGGATAGAATGATAGGTTCGTTTCCGTATACAGCATGCTTCACATTATCTAAATGACCAATGAAAAGCTGTGAAATCATGTCATCTGATTTCCACGTATATCCATTTGCTGTCAAAGCTGTCAATCATGCAGCGTATCTCCCCGCCCTGTGGAGGCATCTCGCCGGTCCCGTGAAGTTTCTCGCCGGTCTCGTCTCTAAGGCCCCGTCCACACTACTGCGTTTTCGTTTAAAAACGGAGAATTAAAACGAAAACGATCTCCGTCCACACTAGCGTTTTAACTGCGTATTAGAATTTATCTCCGTCCACACTAAAACGACTGAAAACGTGGATCACGTGACCATTCACCAACACTGGGCATGCGCGCCGGTGTAAACAGTGGTTGGCGAATCAGGGAAAGATACGTCATGACTGATGACACCCAATCATAGAGCCGAGCGTGAGCCTCTGCGTCATCGTTTGTAAACTCCTCCGTTTTGTCTCGTCCACACTAAAACGCACTCCGGAGATTCAAAACGCAAAACGCAGCTGCAGCGTTTCTAAACTTCTCCATTTTAGGTCTTCGTTTTTTCCCGTTTTAGTGTGGACGGGAGGTGCAAACGTAGCAAAAGGTCTCCGTTTTTAAACGAAAACGCAGTAGTGTGGACGGGGCCTAAGACCCCAGTTACACCTGGTATTAAAATGCGATCTGTATAAGTTATCCGGATAATAAAAAAGGCATGTTAATGCAAGGTGTAAATACGTTGTGATCGGATCTGCCTGACCATCTGGAGGTAGTCTGGCTCGCATTGTGTTCGGATCTTTAACTGTTAGGTGTAAACGCAATCTGGTTGTTGAAACCGCATGTATATTTTACTCCTCACAAAAATGCTAAAAAATAAACGAGTGAGAGCGTGTTATATAGGCTATATGACATGTTATAGTCAGATATGACGGCGCTACTGCGACACGCATCACCGCAGATGAGCAGCTGAGCGTCTATTCATCAAGCCAACGTGCAAACATCGCAAATAAAAGTGAAAGTAAGTCACAGACGCTTAATCATCTTCACAATCACACAATCATCTTCAAGTAAAGAAACGAAATGAACTTACCAGGGCTATTGCCTCTCTCTCTTATTGATGTCTTTGATTTTGAAATTAGCTGATGATTAATAAAATGCAGCTCATATCTTGCAAGAGACATTTAACTGAGCGTATTTGATGAACTGAGCGTAGCCTATTCATTTGTCAATATGAAACGCAATTTGGTCATTCTAATTAATGATCGGAAGAACGCGTATCGACCACCGTTACTGTACAATATGCACGTATATCCATTTAAACTCAATTTTGGGTCAATTGTGGATTATATCATGACACTGGCAAGAATATTGTTACATTTAAAGATGTTGTAGCAAGCATGTTAATGCTACGTTCAGCTGCCTGAAAAGTAACCGCTTCACTTCCTGAAAAGTAACCGCTTTGGACATACGTGAGTTTCATGGGGCTGCGACGATATGAATCTCAACAATAGTGACATGTTTCATGCCACAATGCATGCTGGGAGCCATGATTTTATAACTATGGTGGCTCCCAGCATGCATTGCGGCATAAAGCATGTCACCATTGTTGAGATTCATATGCTGATTCTTAATTTATGTGTGTGTGTCAAAAGACATAATGTATTTTGAAAAATTGAGAATCCAGAACGTCTGTTCTCCTGCAAGAAAGTTTTGCCAGTAAAATATTGATTAAAAAAAACAACTTATGGTCAGAAATAAGATTAGGGATTTATTCTAGTTTATGAGGCTGAAAATCATCTTGGTCATCTTGGTTTCTTTCTTTCTCATCAAAAAAAGTATGTTTTTCTAAACACTGTTACAAAGACCACAAACTCACATAACTGACCAACCAAAGGAAACGCTCATCAGCAAAATGGTGATGACCAAATTATTTTCAATAAAACAAATTCCAATAGACAAAAAAAAAAAATGTTGAATTGGCTCAACTACAAAAGATTTCATACAGAATAGTTGGATCTCTCCAGAAAACAAATAATGTCAAGGTAACTCAACTAAACTTTTTTTTTTTTTTTTTGTGTGACACAGACAACTTATTTACAAAAGTTGAGTCAACAAGTAAAAAGCTAGTGGAAATTAGTACTAAGAATTGTTGTTGTTGTTGTTGTACCAGCTTACATTTGTGTACCTTTACAACAATAATTTAATCATTACACTCATGTCTCAGCAATGATGACACTGTCATGTATGGTTAAATGCGGGAAAATCTAAATACTTCCTGTACTTTAAGACACATGAGTTTAAAAGAATTCTTGTGAACTCCAAATGCGGCAGGATAAACCAGACTTCATACAAAAGAGAAAAGAGGCAGTCCACAGCTGCTGAAACCTAAGAAGCTGAGAGAGACCCTCGGAGCCCCAAGCGCACTATAAGGACTTATAAAATGCCAAAAATAAAGGAGGAAGAATCAAATCTCTGTTGCAGGACAGATGTAGCTAAATTTGTCTGTGAGCCAGATGAAGGAAGCAATGTTCTTAAACTGCATATACTCCACACAGGGACTGAACACAGAGAAGACATTGTACTGAGTGGCAGAGTGATGCCACCCGTTTCAAATCAGGATTTTGCTGTGACCCAGACACGAGCTGAACTTATTTGTGCTCATATGTTGTGTTAACAGGTCCTCTCAATATTGGCTTTATACAAGCTTTGTCAATTAGGAAAATATAGGAAACTTTGCTGCCCCTCTAGAAAATGATTTAAAAGGAAAATAAATAAATGCATAATTTGTTTAAGGTGAATTGTTAGCGTTGACCTTTATTGTGCACATTTTATTGCTTCCCCCTCATATTTGTAGGATTTTTTAAATGTTGAAACATATTTTTAACTTTATAAATAAATAAAAAAATATAAATATTAAAGGTGTCAGGGAAATTCTGTTGCACTTTTTTTAAGGAAAAAAAACAACAACAAAACATTAATTTCCGTCGTCTCCAATACTGATCACCATCATACTGAAAATCTAACAATACAATTGAGTTCTGAAGAACATTATATTTTGCTTTGATGAGAAGGGGCCATATCTCTACCAGGGCAACATTGATAAAAACTGTGATAAATTTTTAAGTATCTGAGTATCTGTGAGTATTTTTTTTTCTTTTACGTGTAAATATCAAGTTTGATCTTATTAATAAAAATAATATTTATTTTATTTTCATAGTTATAGCTAACTAGGGTTGAACTATTTTATTTTTTATTTTTATTTTTTAAACA